ACACGAACTTGAGAAGACGTTTTTGTTGTTGTTGTTATATTACAGGTAGAATTCTGCAGAGTTGACAGTCCTTGACCGGTTAAAAATCCAGGTCCGTACCGTTTACGTAGACCCGACGGTCGTGGGAAGGACTGGTAGCGTTCTTAGCCTCCATTGGAAATTGGCTATTACCAGAAGAAGCACAGAGCTCATTGGAACACCATTCAACAAAACGTTCACAAAAAAGTATTTCAGCTTTTAAAAGCAATAAGGAATTTCTTCTTCTTCTTAATTGGCGTAGACACCGCTTACGCGATTATAGCCAAGTTAACAACAGCACACATGAATTTACCGAAACACATACACCCCATTGGTGTAAATAATGCATTTCAAAGGCAAAATAATAAAATTTTGTTTACCACACATCAAATGTCATTACAAGCAACCGCAGCGACTGAGAGAGAAGTCAAACAGGCAATCGCAAAGGACACTCGCAGCAGAAAAACAGCAGCTGAAATTCAATATACATACATGAAACAAGAGCGTAGGTGGATTATGGGTTGCTGGGGGTGGATCATAACTTCAATTATATTTTTTGAGTGGAGTGCCAGGACAGTTCCTTGGTTCCCTACTGTAGTGAGAAAGAAAAAGCTTTGGTAGAGTTCTTATTCGAAAGAGATAATCGTAAGCCTTGGCCTCAAAATTGATATGAAAATAGAAATAATCACACTTGGGGTTTTTATTTTAAAAATTTGGTGCGTTTGGAGCTTTTCAGAAATCTAGAAATGATAATATATCCTTTCACTGACATAACTATAAGATAGTTTCTTTGGATCTTTTTCAATCGAGAAAAAAATCCGAGGTTCCAAACAAGCGAGTGTTTTTTCAAATAATGAACCATAAACGGCTCTCCTCCGCGCCTGTGAGTACATAGTACACAAAAATTGATGTCGTATGCATATCACACACACACATTCGAAACACACTCACATATGCCTTCATAGTATTTGATATTCATGAATTTTCCAAGAAAATTTATTATGCATAGAAGTATTCTATTATAAAAAGAATATGCAAAATCTTTGGTGTGCGTGTGGGATAAAGTCGCTGTTGGCATGCATTGGTGTCAACAACTTTAACGTGGCGACCCCGATTTAAGAGCTTATCAAATGTCAAAATTCACTGAAATTTTGAAATTCTGAAATTGCCACGCCCGTTCAAAGCTTCTCAACGACGCAACCAAGCAAAGAATTTGCATAAACAATTCATCACTTTTACTTGAAAGGCACTTAACTGCAATATGTACCACATGCTACATATGTATATGAGTGTATGTTTGTATGGCTGCTACAATATAATATTTAAGCCAATTAAGCGTAAAACGCTTGCTGTGGCTAATCATCAAGGGTAGCCAGGAAAATTTGTAAAAAGAAAATATTAAATTTCAAACGAAAGGATCTGCCTTGTTGCCAGATAGTAAGCTTTAATGTATAATTTATTGCACATGCCTGCATTAGTAGGATATGTCAAAAGACGATTAATATTATATAATAATAATAGATAGCAGGCTCACTTAAGGTGTTATATACAGTTAGAAGGCGGAAAAGCCTCGGTGAGCACTATATCTGTGAAATGAATTCTCTGAAATAAAAAAAAANGTTTTTGCTTTATACCCGAGATGGTGTCGTCACATGGCATTGTTGAAAGTAAAACAACGGCTTTGTTCTTTTTGGGAACATAGGAGCAAATTGTCTTGTTTTTTCCATATCCCAATATGCTCGAATGTTCCAGCCTTTGCGGGGAGGGCTTGAACTCCGAGGACAGGCATGCTTTGTTTTTTTTTTCATGGATCCAACCAACGACAATTTCCAGCTTGCAAGTGCATCTGCAAGTGGAAGACTTGTAAAGAAGTTGTCGCATGTGACATTTCTTCCAGTATTTTTGTACTTTTTTCTCTGTTGACTGCCCGATTTACCAGTATAAATTTGACCAGTCAGAGGGTAGTATGATTTCGCATCACATACCCACCATAGCTTTAATGCATTTTTTTGCCAAAGTGCTTCAAGTTTCTCATTGCTGGCATTATGACTACCAATAGCTATTAGTATACCATAGATTGTGTTAAGCTCCTCTTCTGATACATCTTCCCAAATATATTTTCTAAAGATGATGTCAAACATATTTCTGTATGCGGATAGAAAGGCCATAATAATTATAATGTTAACTTACCTTGCACTGCTAGCGCTTTCACTCGCTTCTAGTTTTTCGTACTCAGCCTTGCCTCTTTTGTTCGTATTTCGGCAAACAATTGTCTGTATTGTCGGATGCATTATAGCGTGAAATGTGTCAAATATGCTCATRTTTTTAGTGTTTGGATTGGGACCTATAAAACGACTTTCACGGAATATGTTTTGTTGCCGAAAGCGCTGAAATCCAGGCGGGCTTATTTTCCATTTGGTCCTGTCTTTTTAGAAAATAGCTTTCTTCATCAATGGTTGGCTTTAAAATACTTACCGGGACACTGATGAAGCACTCAACACTTTAAATTTACTATTATTGTTAGTTGCCATTTTCACTAAACACCTGTTGCTCAATGCATACACAATTTCAAAATGACACGCTTCAAAAGTTTAACAACCGAATTCAGTAGTACATATGTATTTGCAAAAAAAACTATTATCGTTATTCCAAACATAGAATGCAAAAAACACACAAAATTTACTCTAAAAGAGACATTTATGTTTTGAATAAAATAGCATGTGTCCAGCTAGACAAATATTATCCTTAAAAGTTACTCTCTTTCTCTCTCTAATTATTAGATTTTTACGGAATATCAACTTCTCTCTAAAATAACATATAATAATGTACGTATTTACAAATGTAAATAGTGCCCGAAATCGTAGTAAAAAGTTGGTGCCCAAGTTAGGGTTAAACGAAAAATATAAAAAAAACCAAGTATTGGTTATTTGAATATTTTAAATAAATTTCTATGTTATGTGAAAAAGTTGTTAATACAAAAAGTATAGATATCTTTATTACCTACAACTTTTTTTTCTATAGAACTCGTAGTTTTTGACAGAAATTGACATAAACGATTTTATACCCTGAACAGGTTATATTAAGTCAGCTACGATGTTTGTAACACCAAAAACTTTTACAGTGTTTATATATGTATATGATCAGCATGACGTCTGTCCGCCTCTATGTATATAAGCGAACTAATCCCTCAGTTTCTGAGATATCTGTTTAAATGTTGTAACCGCCTCCTCCTTTTTCAACGAATTTCATCCAACTATGAATTTTTCCCCTTACCGACCCTCGTCTATTACTAAATAAAGATTTAAATACAACTAATTTGTATGCACCTGTTTATAATGTCCACAAAAAAAAAAAATGTATAAGGTAGCGCGCTAAATTCTCAAGTTCAGCCTTACAAGCTCCAGTAAAAATCTGATAACTAATCAAGGAGCTATGCATGTAAAATATATTATTGTTTAAAAAAATTTAAATTAATACATAGTATTGTTATAAAATCTAATCTTACAACTTTAACATTTCAGAAAAATATAACAGTATGCTTAAAGTGAAAATTTTCTTTTCAATACGCATATTATTCACATAATAAACCCAAATATGTTGTATAAATCTACAAAAAATATTGTAAAAGCAAAATTCGCATTGAAATTCCCTTTACAATGGCCACAATGGGAATAAGTGGCTACAAATTTACACAGAAGTGCCTCAAATATGCTAATACCTATAATGGTGAGTATTTGCCAGGACTTTGTAGTGCATATTTGCTTTTACTCTCCTTTTTTGCCATATCATCCGAAAAGCTATTAACCCTTTTGAAGTTTGCTCTGTTAGCTATTGTTATGGTCCCTTTTAGTTAAAATTCTACATATGTATATACAAATGAATACCTGTAAACACCTATACAAGTGTTAAGTGTATGGTGTATGTTAATATTTATTTTGTATATATTAACTCTTTGCCTTTGTTGCATTTATTACATAATCAAGAATTTTTTCGGAACACTTTTTTTGGTTTATTTAATATTTATGCATTATAAATATTTACAATGAAATATTCAAATTTATGTAATGTCACATGTAACTAATAGCATTTCAGCACCTATTACACTTTTATGAACAGCTTCATACACCAGACACACTAGTTACGTACATATGTTTTATATAGAAATCAACTCAAATTATAAATTAAATTATGGCATTAATTCTAATAATAGCAGTTTAGCATGTGCTCAAAAAATCAAAAAGTTGTTAAAAACATGAGGGTCAGCTCATAGGTGACTTGTAAACGTATGCAAATTATAACGATCATAAAATCTCAAAAATGATAGTTCTAAGTAATTGGTATCTATCTCCCAAAATATATTTTGAGAAAAGTTTTTATCCCTCAAAATAAATTTTGATTCAACATTCCGTTTCGTGGAAAATTGCGAAAAAAAAATTTTCCTACGACATTGAGTATTATTGTTTCTTTTTTACCTATTGGAACGATGAGCTGTTTTGATATACTGTTCCTTATATTAATCATGTTTTGAACTTATTCACCGACTTCTAAAGTATCTCTTCTAACCGGATTCGATGTTCACAAACTGTTTAAAAAATATCTGAAATATTTTAAAAAAAAAAAGATCCAAAAAACCGTCAAATTTAACTACGCTTCACTTAATATAATATATTATTTTCCTATATATATCAATATATTTCCTTTAAAACTTCTAATTATTACCATAATTCGTTTTTTGAAATGCTTATTGTGGCCAAAAAGTCCAGTGTGTTGCAATATTTCCAATTTCACTCAATTATTAAATCTCGAAACACTTGAAATTAAAATTGAAGCTGCAAATTGTTTCTGATTCATATTTATTTACGTAGCATTCAAAATCAAACAGCAGCAATTAACCTAACCTAAACTGGCATATTATAACCCACAAGTTTTTTTGCACGCTCAGTTTATGCACAAATACAATATAATATCAAATTAGGACTTACCCCACTCTGCATAATTAGCTTTAGAATCAACAAAGTAATTAGCTTGCATTTGTACAGAAATAACTTAAATTTCTCACACTTCGCGGCCACTGACAAACAATTGCTTACAAACGAACTACTTTCGTCAAATAAACACACTAAAAACATAGCTCACGCTGATTATTTAGTTAATTTCGAAGCAAAACTATCACGACTACATTATTTCACACTGTAAATTCTAGTTGCAGCGCTATTTATTAATAAATTTAGATTTTTCACTTATTTCACTCGCGAAATCGGAATTTAACTCATAACGACTGAAATGGCAGCGGAAATTTGACAGCTAATACAGTTGCATATACAAAGAAGAATTTGAATGTAAAGAAAATGTGCCAAATGGAAATAGTAACAAAATATGTGCTCATTTTGAATTTAAATTTAAATTAGATATATTTAAGTCTTTGTAATGTGTAGAAAATGCATGCATTTCATTAAACTTATAGTGAAACAAAGAAGTAGTTGAATATATGCAAGAAATGAAATAATACCGCTGGATAACGAAATCTGTTACACTTCCACGGCCTCTGTCACTTTTGCTCTTGCAATCTAATAAGATATGCCTTTCTCACGCCAACAACAAAAACCAATGCAGCTGTTATTGTAGCAGCAGTAAACATTCCTGTTGTAATTTCGAGGAATGGTGTCGAGTTAATAGTGGATAAAAGTCCGGCTCCGCTCTGGTTACTTAGACCAAACTATTGTGGTAAAAACCAGTAAATTCTTATAGTGAATGAAAGACACTGCACTATTCCAAGTAAATTACAATAAAAATAAAATGTGTGTAATCCTAATAAGGTTATAGCATTTTATTTCCGAAATAAACAACCAAACGTGAAAAGAAAATATTAGTGTCTCACCTCCAAACTTAACGCTTAATCACAAATCCATTAATAGAAATTTAGGTACAATTTGTTGTAATGTAAAAATTACTTAAAAAATAAGAGCCAAGGATCATAAAATTTAAAAATACAGTAATTTTGTTTGAGCAACTAAAACTGACTTCAATGCTATTTCGTCACGAAAACTCATATTATGAAATAGAAGTTAAGAAATGCAGGTAGTTACATTTATGATGAATATGGTTTTAATTCGTTTACTGTTATTTTGTTTTTTAATTCATTACATACATTTATTTTGAAGGTATCACTTTTTTATAATTTTACGCGTTAAGATTACTTCCTCTCTCCTTCGACAATGTAATTTCACAGTGTTAAAAGTATTTGCAATTTCGTATGTATATATGTTTCGTTAATGAATTGCACACATGTACATAATTGAATTTCTTATTAATAATCGCAAGCACGGAGCAACAAATTAAAAAGTGGGCTTTTTGCATAAATATATATATTTAGGTATGTAAGTATAATCGATTTAGTATTGCTATGCGAATAATAACCAAGCAATGCACAAGATAGCCAAATACAGGAATAATTTAGATAATTGCTGTTCATCTTCATACTGCACTGTGCCACGGTTGGCGGCTGTAAAGACAAGTGGAAATTAATTTTAATATTTATAACTTATTTTTTGATAAACAGTTAGGCTTACCAGCTGCACGAGGTTCACCAAAATTGAAAGACGAAGCGAAATAACCGAATGGAAAAGCACCAATACCGAAAGACATGTGGAAACCATCACCAAAGCCGAAACCCTGGAAACCTTGTTGTGGCTCTGGCTCTGTACGCTGACCAGCGGGACGCGGTGGCACCTTATTTCTATAAAAAAAATTTTAATAATTATTAATTTTCACAAAATTCTTGGTATTCACTTTGTGCAGGTTTATGCTTTACCTGGGATCCTCTTGCTTGGTGCTGTTGCGTCCGTATAACGGTATTACTTTATCCTTGCCAATTGCTGCTTTACAAACTGGGCATAATTTGCAATTTGGACGTGTCTCCAACCATTGGTGCAAGCATGGCCAGCAAAACAGGTGACCGCACAGACTGACGACTGCATCCTTTGCGGTGTCGAGACAAATATTACATTCATACATGGAATCATCGACTTTCTCCTCTTCGTTGTTTTTGTTTTTAGAATCACCACTAGTGCTGCTGCTTTCTGTTTTAATGCTGTTTATGTTCGCTGTGGAATCGCTGCCGAGAGCGCTGCCTGGAAACGAATACGTCGTGGAAGTTGTAGTTTTCGATGCGACATTATCAGCGGTAGAGTTCACAGTTTCAGTTGAGCATGTTGTGGCGGTTTGCTGTGCCGCAGTGGTTGCAGTTTGCTCTGTGCCATCGTTTGTTGCATTGTCAAAATAAGTCCAATCATCCATTGATTCAGTAGGCGGTGCTGACGCTTCACCATGTGATGTTGTGGGCAATTCCGGCGCCGTTGGGGCGTGTGTTGTTTGTGTTGACATACCGTTCGTTTGCTTTTGCTTCAAAAATTTCACAAATAAGCTGGAAAGAAAACAACACAAATGCTGCTTATAAACAAATAAACCAAAAAATATCTATTTAAATATGCACTCGGCAAGAGCGAATAAGCAACATTCTCATATACTATATATCTACATAAAATCGAATAGGAAGCGACTAGAATGTTAACACACCATCTAAACAAAGTGAATTTTGTAGTGTGGTTTTGCGTCCGTGCTACACAAAGCTTATGTACCTATTTAGTTGCCACCACAGAAAGGTTTAAAACAGTTACAAAGCGGCCTATATTGCTGCATAAACATTCGATTTCTAAAAAGAAACGATATGTATATGCCGTCTGAAAAATCTTTGCAGTAAACAAGTTGTGATTTCGCTTTCCGCAATGATATTATTTCGGTTGTCTCGGCGAAACCAGTTTGCACTTTATAGCGGCATATTTGTCTCATTATTTTTTCCTTATTGTAGCTGACGTATTTTCTTTTTGCCGAGAATTATCAGAACCTGTCTTGCAAATTTGTTGCTTATTGTTGAAGTGTACATATGTACACACGTGTATTGTACATATGAGTTTGCGAGATTTATGTTTGCTCAGCTTAAGCGATATGTACAACTCTTACAAATTTCAATATAATCTGGTTTTGGTGCGTTAGTCTATCATACAAGTGCCGTAACGTGATAACAAATTTGATTACGTTTAGTTCTAGGTTTTTTTTTTTTAATTTTTGTTTTTATACTTTGTACTTTATGTTTGCTTCCACTTCAATTTACCAAAATAGAAAACTGGCTTGTCACGACTCTTGAATTCCTGTTTTCTCTCAAGTTATAAGCTTATCTTCTGTGCACTTCAGAATATACTAAACTGCTGATTGAATACACTGACGTGTAATTCACATCGTATAATTAACATCTTAGTCTGTTCACTACGTTCTTCCGCATCACATGCCCCTAACCCATATACAGACGCCCGTATCAGCACCACTACCACCCTAACGCCGTTGCGTCAATTAAAGTGCGCCACCTCCTACAAATCCCCCATCGACACCTGTAATAGTATTTTCTTTTCTTACTTAATTTTTTTTGTTTTTATTGTGTTTTTTGTTCGCCCAGCTGTGCAGTGCACTTTGGCTTTGTTAAACACAATGTTCGCTTGTTTTTATGTTCACTCATATTATTTCCAATTTGTAAGAATTATTGCGCCAGCTTTCCATCACCTTTTTTCCTTGCGGAATGCGTTGGTATTTGCTTTTCAGCCACGAAAAATGTTGCGTATTTTCGCAATAACATTTTTCCCAATTTGGCTTTAGAAAAAAAAATTGCTAAGGCGTTCACCTCATGAAGGTCGTTCTGCACTCACATTAATGCTGTATTTTTCTCGACAGCTGCTTTACACGCGAATTTCAAATCTATTGAATTTGCACAAAAAACATTTATTGAACCACAATAATTAATTTTTATTAATTCTTAATGTTTCTGTATCAAAACTAATTAGATAAAAGATGTTTTTTTCTTGCTCTGCTGATTTCTTGTGACGTTTTCTTTCATTTGCTGTACATTATTCTACCAACAGGGTTGCATTGCAAATGAGCATTCAACGAAAAGAAGGTATAATAATAATAGGTGTGTTTCATGARCATTATTAGAGTGGTGTACGTGCAATTACAGTGGCGATTTATTTTATTTTTATTAATTTATTTGTAAACTAGCTCGCTTCAAACTTCACTAATCACTAAAACTATAAATATTTCAACATTTTACGCAACAATGTGTACTTGGAAATATAAATATTGTTCAAAGGTTTTTTAGGTAGACATTTTATCATATTTAATATTATATACTTTTATTTATTTGAAACTTTTAACTTTAAAATCAGCTATAATTAAAATGTTTGAAACCATTGAATGAATTTTTTTTTTTTTAATTCGTGCTTGATAATATAATTTCCTATTCCAATGCAACCCTCATGCTGTCAAACTTCTTACGCTATTTCCTTTGCACTTCTTCCAGTTCCGTTAGTTCGTGTGCAAAATTTTATTGAAATAATCGAAAATTATGAATCTATGACAAATCTTATGCCAAAAGTTTAAATTTTTTGCGTTTAATATGAAAATATTGAATATCTTATGAGTGTGTTGTGTTTAAATATGTTTATTCTTGGCTCTTTTAAAAAAGCGTGTGCAGAATTATGAAATGGTGGTGAACTGCGAAGTAAAATGATCAAGTGATAGCTGGAAGAGGATTTAACTGTACTTTATCAAAGGTTTGCAACAAAAAGGAGGTAAGTTGATATGAATAAATCTATATGCACCTATAAAAGATAGTTGTGTTAGTTACACCATTTATAACTCAAGAACGGCTAAATCGGTTTGACTGTAAATTGGGGAAGAGGTAGCTTAGAACCAGGGTAAGGACATAGGATACTTTTTATCTCCTTATTCAAAATTTAATACAACTCATATATATACCAAAATTATATTTCAAATAATAAGCATTTGTTCAAAATTCATGCATGTAGGAATCCTATGAATATATGCGTACAATTTTAAACAGATTCTTCCTCTAAACTAATACCATTGCTAAGTATTTGGAATAGTAGAAAAGAACTGCAACCAAATACGCAGTGAAATAGATTATAACTGGTTCAGTAATCCAGCCGATTTTTTCGTCTTTTCACGCCTGAAAACTGGTTCATCATGTGCAGTCCAGTAGAAAGACTGCCGAAGGGCGCTATGTTTTTATTGTCACACACAGACGCAAAAATTCGGTTTTATTACGATTAAAGAGCACTCGAAACTCTTTTCAGAATTAGTTATTCATTGTTTTTGTTGGATTATGAAGTTGCGAGTCACCCCCCACTTTGCACAGAGCTTTCGCCTCTTTAGAGCATCATTCTCCTCGATGCTCATTTCACCTGTTTCCAGCTTAGCAAATATCTTTTCAACGGAGGATTTCCCTGAGCTCATATTCAACAGCAGTCCCCCAAAAGGCAATGCTTTATTAACACACGAAATGCTTTATGATCCATTTTTTTGTAAACTAACACAAATTGCTTCACAAAAATGCTATAGCTCATTAACTAATAGTTATAATCCAACTAATGAAATCATATAGATGGTTGTAGTAGTAGTATTATCTATGTATCAGCCACAGTGAAGTGTGGACGAGTCCTCAGTATAATATAATAAATAAAAATACATAATATATGTTTATAGCCAATATGCGGGATAATATATAATTCCTATTATTCAACCTCATATTGACGCTGTTATAGAGAAATCTACTCAGTCCTGCCATAAATTCTGTTACATATTCAAGTCGTTATAAAGCTCTAACTATAATACATTTCTTAATAGAGTCGATTTGATTCAATAATACATAAATTATAAAAGCGATTTAAACTATTTTATTCGAAATGGGATCGGTTTGATTTCACACAAGCTCTAAAATGATTTGGCCTTTGATAAATAGCAGCAGTTTCTATTGGAAAATGATAATTTGTGGCCATAAAATTACTCTGTGTGACATATCTTATCAGTGAGTGAATAATATTTGAACATTATAACCTATATTCCTTCATTTGGACATTAAGAAAGTCAATGATGAATATTTTATTATAGTGATTATATAAAATAAATTAATTTCGCGCAAAAAAAGTATTTTCTAAAGAAAACTCGCCAAAAATAATAATTTCGCAAATGAGCTAACTATTAGCTTAGTGGCAGAAGACAAAGAAGACACAAATAGAGAACAAATAAAAAATCGCACTTAACTGTTCAAATAAGTGCATAAACCGTTTAGTTCTACACGAAAGAGTGCGCTGCGAGCGAAAGTGTTAATTCCATTTAAAAGCGTTGATCATCCAAAAAATACTAATAGCAGAAGGAAGTCGTCATATAAGAACCAAGGCAAAGACAGTTGAAGACAGACAGATCGAAGATTTTTATTTGGTTCGTGTTTGCCTGAGAAAAATTAAACATATTTACTAAAACTACGCTAAACTGTTGGACTCCGTTGTTAAAACTTATTACATGGTCAAATTTATATAGAACAATACATGCTTTGTTTCTGGCTTGGAGATAAAACGGCCGCTTACTTGGTGTGTGGCATATGTGTATAAATGAGCTTGGTTGGGCAGTGGACAGCAACAGTCGAGTTCTACACAGCGGCACAGCGGTGACACAACTAGAAGCACAAGCAAGGATTACACAATTACCAATACAAAATGAAGATATTTGTTGTTGTATTTGCGCTTATCGCACTTATAGCGTCTGGTCAGGCGACTTTTGGTAAATTAGCGCTGCTCGCGGGCGTAAGCGGTGGTGTTGGCGGCGGCAGCTACGCTCCTAGCTATGGTCCTGGTTATGGTGGTGGCTATGGCGGCGGTTACGGTGGCGGCTATGGTTACGGTGGTGGCTATAATGGTGGTTATGGCATTACGCCATACTCAAATAGTCGCGAGAACATCGTCAAAGTGATAAAGGTGTCTGTGGTGCCTGGTGGCAGCTATGGTGGTGGCTACAGCACTGGTGGCTATGGTGGTTATGGTTATGGCGGTGGTGTTTACAATGGTGGTTATGCGAGTGGCGGTATAGCCTACCCTGCGGTGACCACTTCGGCGGTTGTAACACCTGTTGTGACAGCTGTCTCAACTCCGGTTCCAGCTCCGGTCTCATATGGTGCCAACTACGGCAGCGGTTATGGTTATGGTGGCGGTGTTGGTCTAGGCTACGGTGGTGTTGTCGGTGGTGGTGCAATTGGTGGCGGTGGTATTGGTGGTTTGGGTCCTTTGGGTCCTGAAGGCTGGTGCTAGGATAAAAAGTGAACGATTGTGGCTGTGCTCGTGATGGAAACGATAAAGGGATGTCACGTATTTGATGTTGGTAATTTGTATATATAACTGTAACGATGAATTCAGTATTAAAGTAAATAATAAATTTTTAGTTTTGAAACAAACTAACGGAGATTTTGGTAAATATTTAAAATATATAAATATTAGGTTTTTCAAAAAGGAGCAAAACTCCTTTTTAATTGATTTTGAGATTTGAATTTTGAATTGATTTTGTTCATCTTAAAAATTAATTTGTTCTTATATTAATATTATATATTATTATTATTAAGAAGAAGACATATTCAGAACAACTTTTTGTTTTATAAATTTTCAATTATCATAACTACTTATAATAACATAACCTCGATCACTTAGCTGATTTTCAATACTGCTTTAGCGGTTATGTCTTTCAGCCACAAATTTATTATTTTCTATTCTTCATTCAACTTAAAGTCAACATTATTATTGATTTTCCCAATCTCACTATTCTCGCTGGAACTTCCGACTGTTCTGAAGACTTTGGGTTTCACTTATGTACATATGTATGTATACGGTTAAATAATATAATTCGGGATATTTTGTGTGAGCAAACAATTAGCACCTTATCAAGCTTTACTTTTAGCACTGTCTAAATATGTAGAAGTACACACACACACACACAAGTATTTATATTTCTTGCTGAGTTCATATGATAAACCTCTTATGTAATATCTATTAGCCATTTGTATTAGGCTCGAACTGTAAGTTGACAAACAAGCCTAAAGAAAATACCCAGAATTTGTGGTGTGCAAGCAAAAAATATAGATTTAATGTGCAAACAAAATAAGTTACGTTAAAACCCCACAAAAAGTGAGGTCATCAACACCTGAACTATTAGCTTTTTTGTTGTTATGTATTTATGGAGATAAAACTAGTGGAATCAACCAGATCAGGCCTTTACAATGCTTCACACATCGAATCGATGTTTTAAGTGCTCGAAACTGCAGTTGTTTCAGTCTACTATATTTGTGAGAACTCACATTGTCGTGATGAAAAGTGATCCATCTTCCATTTTTTTCATGCAATATTGAATATATGCTAGTCCCGCTACTGCCACTATCTCACGATAGGTCACAGGACGTTCTAACAATATTAGTTTGTGCACAAAATCAATCGTTGCGGGAACAAGAGCTGATTTTGGACCACCTTCATGAAGTTCGTTTTGGTAGTGATCTACGATCTCGATGAAATTCGTCGATCACTTCAAAAAATTCAACGTACCATCGATAAACACTGATATTTGATGGAGCTTCGTTAAACTGTTGCTGACACAGTCTACGTCGAAAGTAGTAAAAAATAATCGGGATGAGATGTTCGAATTCCATTTCTGGGCCCAGATGAATATTTCAAGTTACTGTACCCAACGGAAAAAACGATCATATGTCAAAACGTTATTGGTATATATAAGATAAGAAGATAAGAATTAAGATAAATTTGTGAGTTGACAGATTGCAGCACTAGGGTTGCTAAATGCCGAAATATAAAACACAACTTTTGTAAAAAAAACTTTTAGAGTACCGCTAGCGCCACTTAATGAACTTTTTCTTTTTTCGAACAAAGATCTCTTGTTTTTGAAAATGGCACAAGAGGATTTAAATATGAAATAAATAACGGTGGTTTTCATATGAGTTTGGTGGAATTGACAAGGAATCATCCAATATGAGCTGCTCTTCTACGCGCATACTCCTAATTCGGATAGTCTGAAGGAAGCAATCATCCAGAAGTGGCCAGCTTTGGTGAATAAGAAAGGAATTGTTTTCTGCCAGGACAACGCCAGGCCACACACAGATTGTAACTCACCAGCAGCCTCGAAATCTCGGTGTGGAATTTCTCAACCGCATCTTTCAGGCCTGGCTTCAAATGATTAATACCAGTCTCTGAGGAATGAATTTGGCCTCAAGAAAACTTTATGGAAATCTACTGTCCAATTGTGTTGCCAGTAGGGCTAAGGATGGATACTAACAGTTATATTATGACCTGCATTTTCTTTTCTTTTATTTTAGTAAATTATTAGTTAATTGGGACTAAATGGGGTTCATTTGGCAACTAAACATATAAGTTAGCAACCCCATTTGTAAATCGATTGATTTAAAGAACAATCAAATTTTCTTCCCCACATTAAACGAAATTTTATGAGACTGGTACATCTGGTAACCACTGAATCGATCTTTTGAAAACAAAATAAACGCTAATATTAAAACCCCGATTTTTTCCTTTGATAAAACTTTCGGGAAAACTCATCACTTTCCGGCAGGGGTGGATCCATGAGTTATACGTCATTCCAGTGAACATCAAAAATCAACATGCAACGAGAAAAAGTAATTGCATAGTTTCTCAAAATTCTACTCTGGATCCGTCCCTGCTTTCTGGTGTTTTATAAACTTCTGCTGTGTTCCTTCTCAAATCTTTTGCGCATTGTTGAGTTTTGTTGGCGCTAAAAGGACAGAGAACGTCATTGTTTCGATTATCCAGCCTCGTAAGTGCCTTTGTAACACCCAGGATCTTTCGCTAAAAGAAAGAGTTTTGTCGCCACCGAATTTAAACAGGTTTCTATGTGTTACGGGTCCCCTAAAATCTACGCGACAAGCTAGCAGGTTTATATTAAGTAGTTCGAAAGATTATTTGCCTTCTTCTTCTTCTTGATTGGCGTAGTCACCGCTTACGCGATTATAGCCGAGTTAACAACAGCGCGCCAGTCGTTTCTTCTTTTCGCTACGTGGCGCCAA